ATATAAAAACAAACATGGAGTATTTAAATTAACCTACTTATCTGGCAGAATACCGGAGGAAACTGGTGAGATATAGGAACACTAGCCCTTATTCCTTCCTATTCCCCAAATATATCTAGGATTCACAACTTTCCTATAGGTAAGGCCAAAGCCACTCATGGTGCTCGCCACACATACACATTAGGTCCCCGCGTGGGATGGCGTTAGGTCCCCGTGTGGTAGGTGGAGTATGACATCAGCAACAGTGCACAACCTTACCTCTGGAATACATGGAGTTTGGCTGGTGGCACTGGTGGTTGATGAATGAAAATGACCAACATTTTATTTAAAAGGTAATAATGTTCCAACACCAGCAAATCCATATGACAAAACCCCTTTGTGAGATGGAAATGTTGCTAGCCTTACAATGGTGAATAAAGTACCTAACATGGATTTCCAGTAGGGATGAGTATTATTTGCCTTTTGATTATGATGTAATGCTTTGTGTGGAGACCATGCCTCACAAGCTGGCCAGGTGAGGGCCTGTCTGATAATTTAACTTTTTTTTAAAAAATGTGTCTTTTACTACTGAAGTCGACAGGCTCTCAAGAGCAGGGCTCATTCTTCCAAGCTTATGTTAGATCATCTCTACTGTTTGAAAACATTCTCTGGAACTGAATAATCCATCATGACATGCATTTACACTTGTTACATCCTTCACTGGCAAGCACAGGACAGTGACAGCATCCTAATTCTTCACACACCCAGCAGCAGCTGTATGCACCCAATTCCAAGAGGAGGAATCCTAAGTAGTCTATTCTATATGGTAAAATCTAACATGTACACTAAGTATATCATTAGGTTTATGTTGCTAAAGTTAATAACATTTATTTTATGGGGGATACGATATCCTCCCACGGACTAAACAAGAAGAATCCATTATATTGTTTCTTACCTAGAAGATAATGGCTTAATTAAGTATTTGATCTAACTAGAATAGCCTGCAATTTAATATAGAATGTAATGTTTAGCAGACTTACTCTCGTACATAAGTGATTATTTGATACGACTGCCTATTACTGTCATTTTGACATGTGCATAGATTATTTGTTTGCGCGTAGATTATTTGGTATTTAGTGTATATCGATATACATACTGTGGTAACCCCCTGGGTATTACAATTTTTTCAATTTGTTAAATTTTCAGTCCTCATTGATATTGATATTAAGTTACTAGTGCTTAGCACGAAGTAACTCCGACTTGATATAAAAGTAACGATGATGCTATTTGATAGTTTTAGAAAACGATGTGAACATCTTATATTGATACACTTTAGTATATTGTCTGTTCCAAAATGAGTCTAATCCTACATGTTGATAAACGCTTAGGATTCGGTGACCATGGTGTAAATATATTTTTAAATTTTATATCTGGTATACAATAGCACTGTACTTCAGTGCCTTTATACACCTTGATCACTGTGTCCCTGCGTACTCTCTATGAGGATAACAATATCATTTGTGTAAATATTTGTAAATATGTAGGTAATTGTTTCATTGATTTAATGTCTTAGCACCACCCACTCACTTAATTATTCACTCCTGTGGGGGTTGTGAATGATTGCATTCATGATGTTTTTTTCACGAGATACACGTCACGTATGACATAATCGAACCTCGTTTTCGTTTTCTCACCCTCCAATCATGTTATCGCATTGTATATTTAAACAAGATGACTCACACTATCAAATTGTATTGAAAAAAGTCCCAAGGGGGACTGAAATGTTGACACTTTTTGTAATGAAAACTTGATGCTTCAACAAACAGCACGCTTAGAAATACTATTGAGTCCTGTGAGTGCACTTCAACAAGGTTTTGTATATTTCAAGGGCAACAAACAAGACTGGGAGCAGTGAGTGTGGGACACGTGGGAAGTTATATATATATATATATATATATATATATATGTGTATCCATTATTTCACTCACATATAGTATCTTTAAGAAAATTTTATATTTGTCCATTTATTTAAAGTAGCTAAAGTTGAAATGTCAATTTTCCGTTCCAACATTTTTTCAGACCAGCATAAAAAACAAATCTGCAATTCTCTAGAAGTTCAGAATAAGAAATGCATTAGGGTAGAGAGGTTAAAGTCTAATTGCAGTAAAAGCCTTGGTAGTGCTGGTCGGAAAACTTGTTTTTAGAAATGAGTTTGAATGCCATGTTCAATTGGCACCTAATAGACCTGGTAAGTTTTTTGGAGCCCCCACACATGCTTCTGTGTTTAGCACCACTATAACACCTACTCAAGAGTGTGCACAATAATCATTTGGAATTAAAAGTTGGCACTGATGGAAGGAGGTTTCATACAGGCATCCTCTTACTACTGCCAAGGCAATCACATTAATTCCGTTAGAAGCTTGCCAACACATCCACCTAGTTCACTATCCCATCTTAGACATGAAACCTAGACATTCATATTTAAAAATACTGTGTCCTGACATTTATCCAACTAGGAACTAACTGCTGTCATCATCGTCTATACAAGAACTCTAATGAGATTACATTTCCTATTGGTAAATTAAAATGACTTGAATGCCAAATCAAATTCTTTTCACATACATCTGAAATCAGTTTAATCTGCCCTCTGCCATACAATATAATTTATCTGCATTCCCTCAAAACTGATCCATTCAGATGGCAATCAAGTGAAGTGGGTCAAATGTCTAAAACTACTTTTAAACCATCCACCGCAAACTGTAATTGAGGGCTGTGAAATATACCTTTCATCCGTTAACATTAGCAGGAAGCAATTTGCCACAAATATTTCCTGTCAGGAAGCTGAGGAAAATTAGGTTTGATTAAACTTCAGAGTTCACAGTACATTTTCAGTCATATTAGTAGGAAAGAAAATTAGAGCTACTTGTGTTGATGCCAATGAAAGTTGTCATTAGAGTAAATAAAAGAGTTTCCACTTATGTCAGAGTGTTTAACTACTTTGAAGCAGAAATATTTTTATATTTCCATAATGTGGAACCTGTCATAATGTTAAACATGCAAAACCTGGAAAATCTTCATAGCATTCTAAATACAACCATTCCATAAGGTGTAAATTAAAATATACAAGTCCTCTTGCCAATATCGAATGTCACTTTTCTTAAGTAAGCATCCAGTGAGGGCATAAATATTTAAAATATTATGATATTTTATCCTATATAAATAAATTGCCTGAGCCTAGGTCTGCTAAATGTCTAGTAAAATGTAAGCCTTGCTACAGTAACTGTAAAAAACAAACAAAGAAAAAACTGTATTTGCACTTTTTTGTTTTACTTTTAAACACACTTTAAAAAAAAATAAAAAAAAAATTGCCACCAGTCCACTGCTACGGACCTGGTTTAAAAAGCTCAGTCATAATAAACTACATAAACCCATAGGATTTTAGAAAGGTCAGAAATAAAGCCCAGAGAAATGTACGTCTATCCTGTGTGAAAATATAAGTAATTATATGCTGAACCTGGTTTTAGGTCAAGCATGGCACATAGTGTTCATCTACCTGTGGAAGGAAAAAGTGCTGATGATTACATCTGGAAATGCAGATGTGAATGGAATAGATATATTTCATAATACTCAAGGAACTATAGCCTAGTAGCAATGGGTATGTAAGATCTGGTTTGTAGATCATAATTCTCACAATGTTGAACCAGACTAAAGGCTGATTGGGTATCATGGATAGTGTGTTCTATAAATCTATAGAAGAATGCAATGTCTAGCAATTAGTTAAATAGTTACATAGGCTGAAAAAAGACTTGCATCCATCAAGTTCAGCCTTTCTCACATCTGTTTCTCCTGTTGATGCAAATAAACGGCACAAAAACCCCCAATTTCAAGCATTTCCAATTGTCCAATAAAATAAGAAGAAACTCATTCTTGACCCCAGAATGTCATTCAGATCTCTGTTTGGATCAAGAAGCTGTTAACCAACATATTAAAAATCATATCCCTGAATAATGATTAACTCTTAAACGTTAAAAGTGATTTATCAGTGTTTAACAGTGTGAAAGCAAATCTGTACGGATTATGAAGAATTTGTGGAGATTATGGGAATTTTAGGCCACAAGCAATGATTCACTTTTTACCTGGCCCCTGCTGATATCTGCAAGCATAAAGACAGATTATGCATCATCGAAAATTAATTCTAAATAATTTGAAGGACCGAGGTACCGAAATTCTCAGTGTCAAACCTTCCTTGTTGCTTTGGCAGCCCAATCATCTCCTGCATATCAGCTATATGATTATGCAGCTCTATTTGAATAAGTAAGTGAGGTGGGAGAAGGTGTCCCTTTTTAGTCAACGCACATTTTTCTACAAGGCAGTCACATTCTTGTTTGATAATGGTAACTTTCTTGTTTGTATGTCATGACCGTCCTCCACTACAGATAGGTAGGTGACTTTCCTGCCTACTGACTTATACAGCTGTGTTTAAATGAACCTACATTTTACCCACTAAAAGACAAAAAAAAAAAAGTATTAATTTCAGTATTTATTGAATGTCACACTGCACAATTTAAGTTATTTTTAACATGTGTAATTGCACTTTATAGAAGATCAGATAGACACAATACATAACACTATCAGTTGCATTCTTTAAAGCGCTTTATTACACGCTAAGCACTCCATTCATCTGTTATTTCTTTGTTTATTTGTTTTGTCTAAGAAGGATACAAAAGGAGTATTGTGAGCAGCAAGAATTTGAAAGCCCTTGCATTTATTGTATATTTAACAGGTATTTTTTTTTTTAGGAAGCCCCTTTATACACAGATTGTTTAAATTTTTTTTAAATATTCAATTTATGTACATCATTAATTTAAAGGGATATTTTAAAGCATTAACATGTAATAAGCATTATTTCTGTAATTGATAGCCTTTTCAAAAATAATAAACCTTTAGAACACAGTTTCCAATAGTGTTCTAAATATTATTTTAAAAATGTGTTACATCAAAATTGCATCAAAAATCCTCCTGGTGCAAAACACCTCTAGTGTCTCTCATTAAATCCACAAGTATCAAATAATAATGTAGTGCAAGATACTTAATATAGGGATAACCAATTTCAGGTATGTATCTTGAGATAACAGTTTCACGAATCAAAAATGTAATATTGCAAATCACCTATACCTTCCATGCCAATCCCATCCTCCATCTGCACTGTTGTATTTTTGTTTTTTCTTTGACGATTGATCCATGGAAGTGCTATATTGAGATATATGTTAGTTAAAGTGAGAAATCAGTTAATGTGCACATTAACTAGTTAATCTGCATATTAACTGATTTGCTCAGTTAAAGTGCAAAATGTTTGTTTCTTTCCCTCGGTAAAAAGAGGAATTCTTTTTTACAAAAAAACGTCCTTGCAGAAACCTGTTTCATCCCTTCAGTGCAAAAGTTTGTTTCTTTCCCTCGGTAAGAGAGGAAATTATTTATTACAAAACGTCCTTGCAGAACCATGTTTCACCATTTCAGTGCAAAAGTTTGTTTCTTTCCCTCGGTAAAAGAGGAAATTATTTATTACAAAAACGTCCTCGCAGAACCTGTTTTACCCTTTCAGTTCAGTCTCTGCAGAGTCGTTCACTTCTCGTCTGAAGGCAGAAATATTCTGTGCGAACCTATCACAAATCTTTTTGTGAGCAAGTTCCTTTCAATGCCCTCCACCATCAAATTCTCAAAGCATAGACGCATGGCTTGTTGCTTCTCAAAGGGGGGGGCTGGCTACTAACAATGCTGCTCCGTAAGTCAGAGAAATACTTCTCTCATTGAGGAGAATGAGATCAAGGAGAGGTCTGCTCATGGACGATTGATTCTGACAGTCTTCAAATATATGATAATATTGAGAACAGTGGAGAGCATCTGCTGGGATCATTTCAGGATGTTGCTGCATAATGTGCAGGAAGTGCTCGCTCTCTTGTGGTGGTGGGGGCTCCTCGTTTCTTACCAGTTCGGGATAACTGTTTGAAGAGGTATGTGACTATGTGGTCCAGACAAGAGCAGAACAGCAGCCTGTGCACACCATGGTATACTCCAGAGCTGTGAACCCCTCAGAGAGATGGAGGACGGAATGATTTTTTTTGCACTTTAACGAGTGCCTAGTAGGTAATGTGCAGATTACCTAGGTAATGTGAGAAATATTTGAGAAACAAAATCATTTTCTGCACTTTAACTGATCGCCCTAGTAAATCTGCAGATTCACTAGGTAATGTGAACATTAACTGATTTCTGCACTTTAACTGTAACATATAAACTTGAAATTGGATATCACTATATTAAATTTACTGCACTGTGACTCTATTATTGGATAACTGTGGATTTAATATAATGCACTTACATTGTTTTGCACTGTGGTTTATTAGATTTTGTACAACTTGATACATAAGATATATTTATTAATTTCATTTACAGATTTACAGGCACACAAAATAATTGCCTTTATGGATATTGCACATTACTGAATCTTCATGTGAAACATTGAAATGTAATTTATTATAGGGTAATTGCACTTTAAAATAATATTTAGGACACTACATTAACAATAGCACATTATAATATAAGCATTTATTGAAAATTACACGTTTCAGCACAATTAAAATTTTATTGGAAATAATTAAATTTAGCACACACCCTATATATATTTTTTTGGAATCTGTTTATTTTTTTATACGTATGAGATGAACACATATGGGATTGTGGATCGGCAAAAGAAAAATATTTAACAAAATGGGAAGTTCAATATAATTGGAAACGCTTGATATACATGTTTTTGTTTGTACTTTAGAACACAATTGTCAAGAAAAAACTATACTGATCATTGCCAGTGCTAAGCAAATAAAATCCAGCTTGGTAAAGGAAGAATGGTAGAGTAGCTAAGGACATACAAACAGCAGTCAGAGCTGTAGACTATTCAGGTATGAAAGCTCTACATGACTGTACCACATATATTTATGAAAAACATATGTGAGTACAGGAAGAATTCGTATATGATAAAGTATAATAAGACCATGGTCAGTCTCTGTCTAACAAAGATTGCAGATTGCTTAACATCAACTCAATGAAATTGCATACAATCCAGACATCTAAACCTTGATGGATGTGTTCTTCATTATAAAGTAAAGAAGTACATTTGCTTTCAAGCTGTCTACCATACATGCCAGACTTCATCACATCAATAACATTATTTTATGCAGGAAATATTAGTATATTCAGATGCAATTATTTTGTACACTATTATTCCTCTTTGGGAGTGAATTGTTGCAATTAGGAAATGCAATAGAATGCCCAATGTAAGCATGCAATATTCTAAAGAATTTATTGGCTGAATTAAATTAATTTATAATGTAGAGGTTTTTATTGACAAATCAGAAATCACAACATTTATATAAATGTTTTTAAAACATTCTCAATAAAACTCATTGCTGACTTTCAAATTCTCAAAATTATATTTATTATATTGCATGGTATACAGACAGAACTTTTCTAACGTCTATGGTGCAATATTTGACCCCGCACAGTGATTTTAATAAAACTGTTCCTGTATGACAAAATATTAAAAAAACAGACTTGGGTTTACTAAGTATAGAAAGATTCCAAAAGCAACACTGGCTTGGAAGCATCCACCCTCTAACTAGAACATATGAATGTTTAATATTTTCCAAGTTCTCAGTGTGTTAGCGTGATACACAACAATACCAACTGGCCAGGACTGGCCTTTTAGCAAATCAGGCTGCAAAAAATGAATCTCAGGCCAATGGGCCTTTTTGGGATAACTATGTGCAGTATCTCTCCACCTAGTCTAATATATCATAAAATGATGTACCAGTTTATAAAATGTCCTGCAGCAGTTTCTTTTCTCATCACCTGTTTCCCTAATTTATGGGAGCTATGGACACCCATTTTGTTCTTTTACAGATTCTGGTAATTCATTTCCAGTATGATAACTTGGACCTGCAACAAAGTTATTAGCTACATATGCAACAAGTAGCACAGGCCTCCTGTAATGTTACTTCTGACTATGTGCAGTGTGTCCCACCATGGTGGTTCCTTTGGTGTCCTGCCTTACTGGCAACAATTCTGACAGCACAGTTACCACATGTTTTTATTTCCAACAGAATGTGCAAATTTTCAGAGACTTTTCTGCAAACTGACACACATATACATTAAGGACAAAGAGAAATTACACACATGCAACTATATAATCCATACAGGAACTCAGATCATGTTTTAGCCTAGTTTTAGTTTCCTGAATAGCATGTTCCTTCTTCTGCGAATGTTTAATTTGGCTTGGCTTGTACTCATTGCTCCTGACTTGGCTTTTTTGCTCTGTGTCTGTGTATTCGATACTACTCTTTTGTCACCCCCCTCTTTGAAAGTACCACATTAAGCTTAGCCATTATTAGCAACAGTAATAGGCATATATCTTGTTTCTTCTATTCAAGTATGATAATATTTGGTCATTGCTATGTCTTGGCACTTCCATAGTTCACATGAATTGCAGTAGCAAGATAGGGGGAAGAAAGTATAAACCCCACTAGATACCAAGAAACGGTAAATGGGGTCATAGTTGTGCTGTGCCAACCTTGGTCTGTCTAAGGAAACTATGCCAAATTTGCTCCTAGCTCAGTTCTGAATAAAATGTGGAGACCTGACAGTTGTAGTTAAAGGCTACAGCCAAGAAAGTCTAGCCTGGAAGATATCATTAAAAAAGTCTTCAGAAAACATTTGAGAATGCTATTGAATATAACACAGAGAAGTGAACTCCTAAAGTTGAGAAGTGAACTCCATAGAATCTAGTTGTAATACCATTTGTGTCCAATGTCCAACAAAGTTTCTAAAAAACATTTGAGCTCCATTATAACGAAAAGAATAGTTTAACAAGAATAAGTTTTTGATAACGGTGGCCAAAAAAAAATATCCACCTGCAAACCATTTAACAAAATTAGCTTTAGATTAGTCAGTATGGGCAGCAAACAACAGGACAAATTATATAATGAATCAGGCATCAGGAAACGACAAAACTATCCCACATATACTCCCAGAGAGGCAAATAAAACACAACAACAACAACATATTACATTATGGTACTATATTTTAGATTTTTATTGTATGTGCATCTATGGAATGGTTTTTCCTATATGGGAGAGACAACAGTAAAGAATACAGCAGTACAAACATTCTAAGGACAAAGTAACACAGACCTGGAATGTGACAATGACAATTCTAATGCATGGAAGGTAATGGCACTCAATGTATATTATTACATGACCATATGTGCTTTTCTAGGTGGGTAAGACTAACCTAACTTGATGTGGTCAAATCAAAGGACAAAAGTCAGCAATGATTGCAATAATAAAAACAGAAAAAAAAAACTAAATAAAACAAGCAAACTGTAGGACACTGTTTGGAGTATACAACATAATTTGCTCACACTTTGCTTCATGACCAGTGATCACATACCCCTTACATAGCGGAGGTCAACACTTAAAAATACACTTACAACAAGGAAATAAAGGATTCACACGTTGAACTTTATTTTACTCATGGGTCTCAATGTTCAACTTTCTTTTTTTTATTTCTTGGATTCATGCTGAAATCATCCATAAGAAATTAATGAATAGCTGAAACTCTTCCCATCCTTTTGGTTTCAAGAGAATAAATCTTCCAGTCTGGTGATGCATTACATTTTAAGATGTATTGCTCATAGACTTACTAAGCTGCCAGCTAACTATTAGCCTAAGAGGAGTTGATTTTAATATTTTTAATGTCTAGTCTATACAAAAATATATGAATATATAGAAAAAAAACAGAAATAAAAAATGCCCTCCAATCTCACCACTATACACAATCTGTTAATTAAGTGAAAAATAAACCAAGAGGTAAAAACCATGGGGAGTATATATATATATACATACACTGCTCAAAAAAATAAAGGGAACACTTAAACAACACAATGTAACTCCGAGTCAATCACACTTCTGTGAAATCAAACTGTCCACTTAGGAAGCAACACTGAGTGACAATCAATTTCACATGCTGTTGTGCAAATGGGATAGACAACAGGTGGAAATTATAGGCAATTAGCAATAAAGGAGTGGTTCTGCAGGTGGTGACCACAGACCACTTCTCAGTTCCAATGCTTCCTGGCTGATGTTTTGGTCACTTTTGAATGCTGGCGGTGCTTTCACTCTAAT